TTTATCCATGTAACATATGAACTAATTATTAAAAAGCTTAGGCTTTATATTTACTGTGATTTGCATCATTGCTTATGGCTTAACTGGTGCTACTAGATTGTGGAGTAACTGAGAAGTTAAATATCTTTGGTGATGTTGACTTTTCTTTAATAGAAGAGCTACATTAATTAGCAAATTCACATTTTACAAGGAAACTTCTACAGCCTGATACCTTGTTCAGAAGGAAGTCTTTCTTAATGGAGGACAAGAGATACTAGAGATATTATTTAAGAGCAAGATGTTCAACTCAGGCATGTCTTTATGTAAAGCAGAGAGAATCCGAGCACTTGGCCTCCCTATCCACAGTATAATATTCTGCTTATCCCCATGTAAACATTCTCTTTATAAGGCACAAATATGATAAAACATCATTTACGTTAGTATACCAAGAAACAGCCCTCATAACATGCACATATAATTTCTACAATGATCGGTGTCTCTAGCCTAACAGTGACTTTATTGCTGATGTTCTATCTCGTGCATGATGTACGTGCTACTGGCAGGGAATAGCGCAGTGAAGGAGCTCCCTCTTTCCTATAACTCTCTGTTCAAGCACTGACAGAAGTGGCAATAATGAATCAGCTGACTTGAATCATTTGGGGTTAGTTGGCATTGAGACAAAATGCTAGCCTTGGGGTGTTAAGAGCTCCCTGATTCCCCAGTCTTATTTTCATCTCACTTTGTGCTTCTTTTCTTTTCAGTTTCATCCAAGCATATCCAATACAACTTAGTTTTTTTTTCTACCTTTCTGGTTTGTGCTGCACAGCTGTGCGGGTTACATTTCCCCAGATAGCATGACTTCATCTGACCTGTGCGCACCAGCCAAATAGGTCCCTTGTGTTCATTCCGTTTCAGCATCTTTAGTTTTCATCTCGCTAATATGACACTATCACATGTTGTGCTTTCAAACTGTCTTTCTCAATTTGGTTTAGGACCTCTTTGCCAAAAACTGGGGATTTCTTTTAACAAGTCTCTTGCTGTGAGACGTGGCTTGAAATCTTTGAAAGCAATATTTTTTTTCTTTTGGTATTATGGCTGTGCCTTGGTGTTTATAAAAAAAAAACTTCATGCATCAAACGTTGGTATAAAACATATTTCCTTGAATAGAAAACTGTGTTTCTAAGAGGCAATGTATATGCCTTTACTTTACTTTAGGTTATTTAAGCAAAGAAGCAAGAACAAAAGTTATCAAAAGGTTTTGTTTCTTGTGAAAAACTTTGCCCTACTTATTCTGTTATTTTACTAAAAAGGTTTCTGTGGTTCTTTCTCACATTCGCTGATAGTTTTCTAAATAGAATAAATTCTGTGTTGTATTAATGATGATGCTGCCTTGTCTTGTCACAATACAGAGCGTATTCAAAATGTGTACTCAAATGAGATTTGTCAGGGGAGGGAAAATGAATACTCTGAAAATTATACCCTGCTCTTCTTTGTCCTTAATTAAAGGACATAACATAAAACATCTAAAGGGAAAAGAGAAGGAATTCTGTTTTTTTTTGGCTGGGGACACTGTTAAAAAATGGCATGGAGTAAGTATTTTATAAATTTAGAACATAAGAAAACTTTATATAGAATTTGTCCCTCTTAAAATATACCTAACCACAATGTGGTAATGATCTGCATGCCAGAGAACCACATTAGGCCTTTAAAATCAGATGATACACATTAGTTTTTGGCATAGCTCATTGTAATAATGCTGTCAGGGACAAGATTAGTGTGAGAAATAGCATTGCTCACTCTCCCACTCCTTGTCTTTTTCTCTAGGTGTACATGTAATCTCTGTTTGACTTTAAGACCATATTTTGAAGATTAATTATGAAGGTTTATAAGTCTTACTTAAAGTTTTACTTAAAATATCAGTGAAGCTACTGTATAGTGATAGGAGCTGAAACTGCATGCTGTTAGAATTAGCATTACAATTAGTTTGGTATTTTATTGCATCACCTTCCTGGGAGGTCAGTGTAGTACTCTTGACAACTCTTTTCATATACATGTACCACTAATATTTTGAAGGGCAATGCTTCAGATTGGGAAATATTTACAAAAATTCATGATTATTGCACCAATATTGAATGAGTTGATTAAAATGTACTTGCTTAAAAAGGCATTTTAACTTCATCCATCAATCATTTTCTAAGCACGTTGCTGAATATAGGGTCACAGGGGAGCTAAGAGACCCTGGAGTGGATAAAGCGGTGAAAAAAACTGGACCCCATCCAGGGTGTATCCCCACCAAGGGCATCAATGATGATCAATGTATCTTACAATGTACCTAAATGGGACTTTAGAGAGCTTTTATATTTATTCTGAATAAAACAAATTAATATAAATCTATTTGAAAGTCACCAGTATTTTCTAATTGCTAATCTGGTTTGGAAAGGGCAAACCTTCTTTAGCAAGCAGGTGATACAGGGAGTAAACATGGAATGCTACTAGTAATTGCTACTAGTGTGACATACCACACATTCATGAGAGTATGGAGGCATGACATCATTCTGAAATTGTACTATGCCGTGTGCCATTATTCAAAGTCAAGGAGGTATGACATCATTACAGCTGTTGGATATCTCATGCATTCCACATTTGTTGTGTGATAATTAGATGTAATATACAGCAGCCTATTGGACAAGCCAACCTAACATCACATCGCCAGACAAGTTCGCTCTACCCTTGTACCTGGTAAGAGTCAGGACTTGGAAGCTCAGGGTAGCTCCCAGGATGTCACCATCACAAACACTGAAATCTGGACACCAGTCACAGTAATTACAATCATTGCCAGTGACACCAAAACCACAAAAAAGAGATTTTAAGGTCTATTCTCAGAAACCTTTTTTTTAATTTCTAGAGTCTGCAATTATTTTTGATGTACTATACCCACTCGATTTGGAATAACTGAATTTTTTGTTTGGCACAGTTCAGCTCACTGTAGTGAGCTACGCACCCAAATGTGGGGGAGAATGAAGAAGTGTACCCAGGCTCCTCTGACACACCCACTTTCTATTACGGATTGGGTCCGCAATCCGTCTCAGTGTTAGACCATATGCGAAGTGGTAAGAGTTAATAGTGCATCAAAATAGCAGTGACAGGTTGTGAACCAGTGAACAGGGGAACAGAGAGAGGCGTCCACATCCGAACAGGTCCAAAGGAGGGTCAGGGCACAGCCCTTGAGTCCGATAGCGTGAGATCCATCCTGAGACGACACAAGGTTTAAATCCCCGGGAAGGGGAAAACACAAACAAGGGAAGTCCTGGGATCGTGGGGCGAGGTCCTCTAGGCCCCGGGCTCAGAAGCTCAGGCAATGTCGGGGATGAGGCTGTGCCCTCAGGCGTCCTGCAGCCTGGTGATAGGTGGGCGACATCCGAACCCTAATGCTGAGCCCTGAGCACTGGAGGGACTAGGATTAAATAGAGGGAGACAAAACAAGGCACACCTGGAGAATATACCAGCAATCATGCAGAACTAATGACGGGAGTAGTAGGGATGTCGACCGTGACACTTCATCACATCACAGTCCACACAGCGCCCTGCAGGATGTCCGGCACCGATTGGAGGAGAGCTGCAATGCTTGACAACTGGCACCATGAGCCCAAAAACCTTCTAGAAACTGCAGGGGACTCCAGGAGCTGAAAGAGCCCTGGCTGACTAAATTCACTCTTCTTTAAGTGGCACTTAACCAGTTGGACTGCTGATACTGTATGTGTACAGTACCAGAGTCCTGAACAAGAGAGCTCAATCCATTCCTGGGCAAGCACTTTTACTGGTTGAGCTACTGTATTCATGAGCCCCTGAATAACTTCACGGGGGATATCCATAAAGCTCAATTGGTCCAAACATAAGAAAACAACAAGACCTCGTAAAAAAGTATAAAGTCGAATGCACCAATCTTTTCTTTCCTGTGGCACTCCTACCCACTGCTTGTGATATGTGTGCTACAGCTCACTTAGTGCCGTGGATAAGCACTCGGACTGAGCCAGGCAGGCTCTGCTAGGTTCAAGTTCAGCCTTGGCTCAGCTGGTGCACCAGTGGAAAATGAGTGTAAGTGACATTTGATTGTAAATCAGTTTTTTCCAAAGACAGGGCAATGAAGATTATCTCACATAAGAATTAATCCAATTTCCCAATTAAGAAATGGGAAATCAAACTGATATGTGCAGTCTGCCAGGCTTTAGGATTCTAGTTTTTTTTTTAAATTGAACCAATGAGTCTAGGGATTTAAACTGAACCTGTTGCCAAGACCTAATTACTACATCACATTCCTAAAACTGTTAGCTCATTGTCCCTGGGGACTCCAAATCCAATTGAAGGAATTACATGGAAAAAATGAGTTATAGTCAGATTTATTTAAACACTTTAAGACAGCAGGGTGAACAGTTCTGTACAATGTAATAATAACCTTTGAAAAAAAGATATATTGCTTTGCTTTGATCCTTTTGATAGAAGCACTAGGTTGGATATGTGTGGCTCTTGCGGTTTTCTGAAGATGATACCCCTCTACTGATCACTGATACTAAATAACTAAATAAATAACTACTGATACTAAAACAAAACAAAACAAAACAAGGAATCGACATTCTGTGTCCTTTGAAAAACTTGCCGGGTAATGACTACTGCTGCTGAACGATTTGTTTTTTCATTTTGATTTGTAACTCAACTCTAAATACATCATCAAAACCCTAATGGGAATTTACTCATATCACCCTTAATGTGTCGGTACAATTCACCTCCTTCTACTAAAGGAACCGTTATTAAAATATGTGGCTGACGAGCATTGATTATATACCAAAGGTTTCCCATTGAAATAGCTGATTTCAGAGACTTATTCATGGAAGAAACCATTGGAATAGGTAGTGAAAATGAGTAACATTGACAGATTAGAAGCATTTGATTTTGTTTGTTCTTTTCTCATCTCTGAGAAGAGACCTGATGGAGACAATTGAACATCTTCTCTTTTATGTTTGCAGAGTTCGGAGCAGTACAGCCTTGCAGCCAACAAAAGTAATAGGGTGTTTCTCTATTGTGCCTTTCTGGACTACAGGTAAATGAACACAATGCTTCTTCATTATGTAATAAAATAGTGGGATACAACAAATTTCCTCTGATGCACTCAAACATTAACAATAAATTCCCAGAATGTCAGAACTGTACAGGTCTCTCATATTTCCTGCATTCACAGTGAGTAATGTGTACACCTGTGCTATGCAAGGTTATCAATTAGCCTTCTTAGTCTAATATGATTTCTAATTATGCGTGAGGACCTCAGTGCTATGTCCATATTGCATACAATTCGAAATAAAAGCTCTTAATCGGATTACCAGCAGTGAAACTAAGGGGAATGTCACATTTCAAGAGCTCTTCCTAATCCCTTTATCTTCCAGTTCTGGAGATGGAGTGTGGTCCAACAAAGGCTGTGTCCGTTCCGGAGGAAACCTTTCATACTCCATCTGCTTGTGCAATCACCTCACCAACTTTGCAATCCTCATGCAGGTGGTGCCACTTGAAGTAAGTTACCTTCAGCTGTATATTTGTAATGCACACCCCCAACTTGATAACGTTTTTGTAACATATCAAGGGAGGTTGCATTGGAGACTGAGAAACTGCCTCAGAATGTGTGATTTGCTATCCAGACTGTGTTTTCAGAACGGACAGGGCCACATTGCCACATTGCTTTGCCTGCTGGATTTGCTATGGTATGTAACAGATTAAGTATTAGCTAGATGGCACTATTGCTTAATAATTGCAGTATTTAAAAAGAGTGACGAGGCAGAAAGCGAACTTTTTTCCAGTTTATTTCTGTAATCTGTTACAATGTAGTGTTTGCATTTGATAGGTTACTGAATGGGGTTCTGTGTGTTCATCTAAAAGTAATTTAGGAGAACATAACATTGTTCAGATTGTCCATTTTTGAGCGACTTTTTTACCAATCAATCTTGGTGTTCAGGTGTACCATTTCTAGATCTACTTACTGTAATTTAAATAAAATTTAACGTAGTGAAAACCTTCTCCCAGTAGTAGGCGACGTTACTGGACATGGAATTCTGTGCATCTTATGATCCATATAGTTAGTTTCTATATTTCTATAACTGCTTGTGTCCTGAGTGTATGATACCTGGAATCTGGAAACGTTTCTCAAGTTACCTCTACAAAAGCTGGTTAAGAAACCACTTTCCACTTCCCCTTTCTGAACAGCTAACAGCTAAATATAGTCTGAAACATAGGTTTTACTTATTAATTTGATTTAACTCTGTGAGTGATAGAAAACATATGATAGAATTAAAGACATCTGCTTAGTTCAGAAATCAGTAGCAACCAGCCAAGCACCAATACCAAGCCCTGCCCTTTCTGTATAAATATAAAAGAGGTGTTGGAGAGTGCTTAGCATGTGGTGGTCAGATGTTAGTGTACGCTGGCACATTTCTGTCTTTTGGTCAAAATAATAGAAAGGCTCCGACACAGTTCTTGCAGCAGAACATGTTTAAAATATATACCAGACGTAACCCTGTGCTATGGAGGGCGCAGTGATGCTTTATTTCCATTAGGATCACATTTCCCAATCAGTGCTTCAATCATGAAAGGCTTAAGAAGAAGTATAAAATCTCTCCTTTCTCATTACAACACTTTCATCCGATCAGGGAGCACATTCTCTTCATTATCTCATGGTTTTCCATTACCTTCTGTTTACTTTTGTGAACATTTGCTTAACTACCAAGGGATGTCCTGCTTGAATTCAGCACAAAGTAACCTGTATACGCGGATGGCATCTTTAGGCCAGAGGTTAAGGGAGGTGCAGGTTTGTGCTATTGGTCAAGTGCATGAAAGTCCACAATGCCACAAAGAATGTAAAATGCAGAAATAAGTGAAAAAATGTATTCTGAGATCTGTGTTATATTTTACTTTTACGTATTGAGTGATTTGTACCAGAGTTTGGTAAAATAACACACTCGTTTCTATATATTATTTAACAGAATATCTTGCTTCTCTAGAAGTATTACATAATCCACAAAGCATACGCAGCATATCGAGTATCATTAAGGACTTCGAATCCAATATGCAAAAAAAAAAATCAAGGATCAAGGAAAAACCTGCAATAATAAAAATGCTTGTAAAACTGCTATTAATGGAATACATACCACAAATCAGGCTCCAAAAGCAATTATACTCAGCACACACAAACAACATTTGCAATCAAAGATATCTCATCTCTAGGTTAGGTTGGCCATGATAGGAACATGAGAGTACAAGGTGAGAGCCTCGATTAATGTGGCTTAAATCCTATTGATGACGAAATCCTTATTAAAAATAGAGATTGTCTTAAACCGCACAAGCACGAATATATTCAATAATTCTTACAGGTGGCACATAAAACTAAAGTCACTGGGCACATGATTTATAATATCCAGCTGTTAATGTCTGCCTTGGGTAAGTAAACTTTTCATTCTCAATCACCCAAATCTGCTTTTAATGCAGTCACAGATGGTGAGGTGAAAAGGTAGAGGCATTTAAAATGTGAGAGACTGCTTTGACTGTTTAACTAAGGCAGGTGCGGTAGCTGTTTTGGAGTTTTAGTTTATGAGCGCAGAATGAGATACCGGTAAACAAGACACTTGTAATCTCCACTTTGATTATTAGATGAGATGAACAAGAATTGATCATTTCATGGATCGCTCTTAATTGCCAGAAGATTTAGGTATCAACAAATGCACTGCAATATCTCCTCACATCTCTAAGTGCAGTGAACAGATATGAAGCAAATATATGATGAACTCCAGTTATATTTCTATTAAATGCCTATGCTTAATGTATCCATGTTTGTTTAATACCCATTAGCAATCAATTTGTTTTACCTAATCTAAGTATAGACAGCTCATAAAAATAAATTACTATGGTGTACAGCATTTGTTAAACTAGGGCAAAATGTGGTATGGAAAATATATGTTTATATAGGTAATAATAAATATAGAGTGCTGACATTGAAGGTATGAGCCTCATGTCATTTATATTTGCATTTTGTATTTTCACATTTCTCATGTTGCTCTCTAGCCCTTTACCTTTGATTTTTTAATAAGCTGCCTTTGGAGAAAAACTCAAATAAATCTGGCCATATTTCCCTCTGGTATTTACCAATCATGGCCTCTATTCTGCTCCCCACTGATAGCTGATGTGTGGTGAGCGTACTGGTGTGCTTTGGCTGTCATTGCATCATCCAGGTGGGGCTACACGTTGATGGTATCTTTTAATATAAGCAAAGCAACACATACGAAGAAGGCTCAAGCACTTCTGAATGTTCTTATATACCTAACAATATGTTAGAAAAAAGGCTTCTACATAACAGCTTGCTTTTTTGCAAAGTGACGGGTAGATAGGCTTTATTCTTTCTCAGTATCCAGGCATAATTAATTGTGGTGCATACACCCTTGTTTGTAAAGGGAATTTGAATTTCTCAGTGGTTGTAGTTTGGCCGGATAATTTACGGTACTGAACAGGAAAGAAATAGGGCCAGGCTCCATCAGCAACCAGTAGGCTGCAATTCATGCTTTGAAAGCCTTATAAATCTAAATATCTGGGGAATCCTTCACTTTTAATTGTAATGTATACAGATGAGGAAGGTGGTATCTGTTACATGGGTAAGTACTGGCACTTTCCATTTATGGTGAGGTTGTAGTTTATCAAAGCTACTTTCTGGATCGGAGTATGATCACACATAACTTCCAATTTTTGGATTATAAAGAAGCTGTTAACAATGAGCAGTTACAGTATACTGTAACTTCAATTATTAAAGTTATTTTCGCGTTCCGTTTGTTTAATTTGTTTGTATTTACGTCCTTTGTTTTTTATTTACAGTCTTTTTTGTGCTCATACTGTACATGCATTTTTGAGAGACTTTACCTGTTAGTCAGTTACTGGGGCTTGTTTTTCATTGCTTATATATAGTTTCTTCACATGAAATATATATATATACCAGTATATATATATACGTTTTGTAAATATTGTTATTGCCAAAATATTCTCAATACATTTTCAGCTTAAAATAGCTCATACATGCATGTCATTCTGACGGATACAAAAATGATTTTTGTTGTTTCAATACTGTGCATTTTAAGCAAAATAATTCCTCTGCATTTTCCATTTTTATAAATTGTTGAAGGTGTCTGCTGAATAAACTCAAGGCTGCCATCAAATTCAATTTGATTGCCAACCTATTTTATTTCTTATTTATATTGCTTTTTCCACCTTCCTTTCATCTGTTTTATCAATTCTGATTCTGGCTTATTCTCTGGGGATGTTTGCTATAGATACACCATGTGAGCTGTTTTTCTTTAATGGGGAAATTGAATCATTTTGCAAGAGTCAGCTTGGTACTATCTAGGATTTCATATAAACAAGATTGTGAAGTGCCATATTAATTGCATGTAGAATTATTGTACTAATTAGTTGCTATAATAAAAGCAGGTAAAGTCAAGACCAAATGCACAGCAGCTCATCAAGCCCGATGATCATTAAGAGGACTGGATGCCGATCCTTCACAGAGATTGCTCCCCACTTAATCAACTGGGTGGGTGCACCCAGTGCCTCACTGAAGAGTAGTGTCTCATTGTCTGCAGCAGCTTCTTGAACCCACAGCCTGTCAGTCATGAGTCCAAAGGCTTACTGGTGCAACACTACCCACTTATATTATTAAAATGAATAACAATTCCATGGTTAGCGGTGGACTAAAGTCCACTCCATACTCCACCACGGTACAACACCCACCTGGGTGCCACCATGAAGCCTTTGCAATGAGCTGCAGTGAGGTGCAAATACACTGCAAAATGCAGAAACAGCAGTCGACGAGGTAAACACCAATCAAGCTGTAAAGCAAGAGTTCACTTGAAGATAACTTTGTCAATCTGAGGATTTACAGTTCATCCTGTGTTAAATGTATGATTTGTTGTGTTAATTGACAAGATCCTAGTTTGCCAGGTTTAAAACCTTTGACCCATTGTTCTGGCTGAATATGGGCTGAAGGCTTTCTTCAGACTCACAGGGTTAAGCTATTGTTCCATGCCCTTAAAAAACAGAACAATTTCTGAAGCTGCAGCTCAATAATGCAAAACCATGGCCTTGAACTTTGATGCTATACTTTTCTCTCACAAGAAACTAATTAGAGGCCAACTCCGTTGATTCCAGATGTACTGTATGTGAGCATTACCATCTTGCCATCTTTGGAAAGCAATGAGTTTTAGATTTGTTCTAATTATAAGGTAGTGAGCTAAGTTTATACGAAACCTAACCACTGCCTTGTAATGTCTGAAAAAAACACAGAAGTATTTTCTCAACCTCCCCACCATCCCCACACACACAAAGCAGTTAATGCCAGGCATGAAGTAGTGTGCTGCCGTTCTGCCCAAACAGGTGAAACCTGAAATGCAGGTGGAGGCTGGGGTGAAAGTGACTGAGAAACCAATACCTTATCATTCATTAGGATGTTTGCTGCTTATTCATTATTGAATGTGCAAAAGGTG